CCTGAGTAGCTAGGATTACAGGTGTGAGCCACTGGTGCCTGGCTTCTAGAACTTTTATAAATAATACTTAAACATTTTATTTCTTTTACTAGGGTATTTTTTATTTTTATTTTTGTGGTACTAGGGATTGAACTCAGGGCCTTGTGTTTGCTAGGCAGGCACTCTACCACACTCAGCCCTTGTTTAGTGCTGGTACATAGAGGTTAAGGTTAGAATCTCATGGAGGTTCCTGCCTAGACTGGTTTCCAACTGTGATACTCATATCTCAGCCTGCTGAGTAGCTAGGCTTATAGGCATGAGCCTCTGACCCCTGGCTTCTTTTTCTTTTTTTGGGGGGGGGGTCTGGTCGTGGGACCTGAACTCTGGGCCTGGGTGCTGTCCCTCAGCTCTTCAGCTCAAGGCTAGCGCTCTACCACTTGAACCACAGCGCCACTTCCGGCTTTTTTCTTATGTGGTGCTGAGGAATCGAACCCAGGGCCTCAGGCATACAAGGCAAGCACTCTACCACTGAGCCACCTTCCCAGCTCTTTTTCTTTTTTTCTTATTTTTCTTGAGGCAAGGCTGCCTTTGAATTTTTGGTGGTCAAACAATCCTCCCACATCATCCTCTTGAGTAGCTGGAATTACAGACACATAGACCCATACCTGGCTAGGTTGCCTTTTAACTATCATGTTAATGCCCATTGCTACAGAAAAGTTTAAAATTTTGCTGAAGTCCAACTTACATATTTTTCTTTCGTTGCTCCACTTCATAATGTCATATCAAAGAATACATTGTCAAATTCAAAGAAAAGAATATTTACCCAATATTTTCTTCCATGTCTTTTTATGTTTTTTTATTCTAATATTTAGGCTGTTGGTTCATTCTAAGTTGCTCTTTGTACATGATGTAAAATAGGGTTCCAGCTTCATTCTTTTTCATGTGGATATTCAGTTGTCCTAATATTTGTTGAAGAGACTTCTTTTTTCAATAAGTGGTTGGGCACTTATTAAACATATGTGAGGAAGACATGAGAACCTTGGTAAATCATTAAATTTGCAAGATTTATTTCCTTGCCTAAAAAAATGAAGGTATATATTAACTTCTTTATCTCAGAGGTCCTGTCAGCATTCAGTGAGATCACATATGGGCAGTGATAGCTATTATACCTGGCACATAGTAGGCACTCCAGTAAATGTTAACTAGTTTCTTGCTGCAAGAATTAGAGCAGAGTGAGCAGTGCAAAAGCTACCATTTCCATTCCTTCTCCTTCATGTCTTCAGCATAGAGGAGACCTTAGACACACAAATACCTATTTTTGTCTCAGCCATTTGCTGAGTATGTCCTTACACCTCTGGACAGAAGATAATTCTAGCCAAGGGATTCAGCGGTTTCTGGGGGAAAGTGACACTTGAGCTGGGTATTAAATGACTCATAGGCAGGAGTAGGCAAGATGGATACAAGGCAAAAGTGTTAGCATAGGAAATACCAAGCATAAGGCTCTGAAGGCATCATTGTATGTTCTGGCTTCTAGGAGATGAAAACTGTTCTACAGTACTTAGAACATAGGGAAGGACTGAGAGTGGGGTCAGAAAATGTTCTTGGTTACATGATCATTAGGAGCTGTTTAATCAGGTTTAAGCAGGAGTTTAACCATGGTCAGTACAACACTGTAGATACTGATTGGGAGAAAAAAAAATGGATAGCCAGGAAGGAGGAAGAAAGAGAAGGGGAAGAGGAGGAAGTAGAACTGTGTATAGCTGGGAGAAATGCAGTGAAGAGGCAGAGAGGGTTTTTTGTTTGTTTTTTGTTTTGTTTTGTTTGTTTTGTGCTGGTCCTGGGACTTGAACTCAGAGTCTGCTTTTGTTCAAGCCTAGCACTCTACCACTTAAGCCACAGAGCCACTTCTGGCCTTTTCTGAGTAGAGTATGGGAGATAAGAGTCTCCCAGACTTTCCTGCCTGGGCTGGCTTTGAACTGCCTGAGATCTCAGCCTCAGTCCTGAGTAGCTAGGATTTCAGGTGTGAGCCACTGGGGCCTGGCACCAGAAGAGGAGTTTTGTTAGGTATATTTATAAACCTAAGCAGATTATGCCTAGGACAGCTGTCAGAGTTCTGATTTGTGGAATGTGGCCAAGGACCAAGGGAGGAGCACTCAGCAATGGACACCAGAGTGAAGAGCAAAGAGAAGAAAAAGTGATATTTGTTTTGAGAGATGGATTCAGATGCAGATATCCAGTAAATAGACTGGAATGTCAAAGAGAGAGTACACTGGAACATGGTTAGTGTAAAAAGCACGTTTTTGTTTACCCTGCTAAAGTGAGGAGTATGGGCTAGGGATGTGGCTACTGGTAGAGTGCTTGCCAAGCATGCATAAAACCCTGGGTTCGATTCCTCAGTATCACATAAATTGAAAGAACCAGAAGTGGCACTATGACTCAAGTGGCAGAGTGCTAGCCTTGAGCAAAAGAAGCTCAGGGACAGTGCCCAGGCCCTGACTTCAAGCTCCAGGACTGGCAAAAAAAAAAAAAAAAAAAAGAAAGAGAAGTGAGGAGTAGGCTCAGTTTGCTGTTGTTTTGTTATTGCCAACATATTTTTATTTTAATAACAAAAGTATAAAGAAAAAATATAGTCTATAATTCTTCTCAAATAACCCTTGTTCAAAGAGAGAGAATATTGTAGGTTGTGGTAGAAAATACAGTAGACATGGCTTAAGTGATGAGTGCTTGCCTCACTTGCAGCAGTCTCTGGATTAAAACTCCCAATATTCCAAACAAAATAAAAAATAAAAACAAGGCAAAGAATAGCAAGGCAGCTCAGAAAGGTATAAAAAGTGCAGGCCTTCCCCATGTCTTGTGTTTCCTTCTAGGAAAAAACTCACATACACACACATCTAGCCTCTGAATTCTGTACACCCCAAAGTGGCACTGCCATATAAGAGGTGGTCTTTTGAGAAAATTAACCTGCTCATGGCTTTACCAGGCACCCAAAGCCCATCTATTCCAATAGGGTGCACTGTGAGTTCACTGAGGGAATGTTAGGGTCTCAGGGTCCCTAGCTCAGAGCTAGGGCCTGGCCCGGGTTAGGCAGTCATTCATAACTGAATAAGTATTTGCTGCAATGAAGATTTAGAGTGCTTCTGCTTTCATGTCCAGTTGGTTAAGTGATTTAGTTTAGCATTTTTTTAAAAAAATAGAAATCCCAGACAGGCATCAGTGGCTCATGCCTGTAATCCTAGCTACTCAGGAGGCTGAGATCTGAGGATTCTGGTTCAAAAGCAGTCTGAGCAGAAATGTCTGTGAGACACTTAATTCCAACTAAATGTACAGTGCTCTCTCTCTCTCTCTCTCTCTCTCTCTCTCTCTTTCTGTATAAGGGGGTGTGGAGAAGGGGGAATGGGGAGCAGGGGACTCAGCTCTGGAGCAAAGGCAGAAATGACCCAGAACTGGTTGTGTTTTGAGAGGGAAACTGAGATCTGGTTGAAATTATGATTCCTAAAGCCATATGGCCCATGGGCAGCAAAGCTAACACCTACACAGGGAGAGGGAGAGGGAGAGACCCTGTATGTGTGTAGTTATATGTGGCTAGTTGTAAGGTGGATGAGCTACTCTTGCTCCTTTCTTCGTCACCCACTTCTGCCATACAAGTAGCAACAATTCCCAACTCCAGACAGAAGCCCTGGAGTGGGAGTTAGGAAGCTGGGTTCCCAAGCCTGCTCTACCACACCCCACCACATTGCTGTGGGCCAGTCACATCAGCTCTCCTCTGAACGCAGGGATGAGTTTAAATAAAACTGCAAGTTCCTACCATTATTGCTCTTTATTTTTTACTCCCCCTCTGTCATAATTGCTTTCTGTAAAATGCTATCTTTAATAAATTATAGAAAATGAAACATGCTTCTAAAATCCTGGTTTCCTACAATTCTGTGAGTGCTGGGGTATCTTATTCTGTGTGGAATCTGGCTGAGTGAACCTGACACTTTGTTCAGGAGGCAGGAGCTCCAGTTTTTTTTTTTTTTCCTTCAATTTCAGCCCCAAAAACAAGCCAGCCTCCAAGTGTGAAGCTAGGTAGGACTGTTGGAGCGGGTCCAGACCATCAGCAAACAATGCACAGGGGAAGTGTAAATGGCATGAAGAGATCATTTTGAGCCTCCAATCCTTCAGTAACCCGGACCTGGGTGAACACTCCCATCATAAGCAAACTGAGGTTCAGAGAGTCACTGTGACGCCTTATTCATTACCCACCAATCCCCCTACACCTTGGGCAGGAGGCTGGGGAGCCCCACATAGACAGGGGAGGGAGTTTTGAGACCCTCTCCTGACGGGGTGGGCCCTTTCCAGTGAAAAACACCACAAACCAAAACAAAAAAACACAAAGGGGGAGTGGAGCTGTGGCTCAAGCGGTGGAGTGCTAGCCCTGAGCAGAAAACGCCACGGAAGATCGCGAGGTCTTGAGTTCAAGTCCCAATCCCAGCACGCATGTACCAGCAAAACCCGACAGCGGGCCGAGGCCTGGGCTGCAGCTTTGCTGCAGACTCGCCCTGAAATCTGCTTGTTCTCTAGCGAGCCGGCTGGATTCTTTTGAGCAAACTTTAGCAGCAGTTACCTCAGTGTGAGTCGTTATCACCGGTCCCCTTTGACGGGGGTAAAACTGGAGCGGGAGAAGGGACGGATCCTGCCCGAAGGACGAAGCCGGGTTCTGCAGGCACTCAGCGGGCTCGCCCGCCCGGCATGGTACCTTCCCCGCCTGCCCTCCATCCCGCCGGGTTCCGCGGCCGCGCTCTGTGCTCGGGAGCCGGCCGCCTCCTGTCAAACTCCACGTCCAGCCCCGCGTCGGCCCCGCCCAAGCCCCCAGGCGAGGAGGCCCCGCCCTCGCGCCGCGATTGGCCTCAGCCGGGCGGTCCCGGCGAGCTAGTGGCTCAGGTGGCTGTCGGGCACGGCCGCCCCACCCCCGAGGGTGCCGCCCCGCAGGACGCGGCGGCGGGGGCTGCGGCGGCGGCGGCGGCGGCGGCGGGGGCTGCGGCGCCAGAGGAGGCGCGCCGAGCTGTGCGCCCCGCGAGCCGCAGCGCTCGCTGCGAGGTGAGAAGGGGCGCGGTCCGCGGCCTGAGAAAGGAACCCGCGGCTGGCGTCCCAGCGGCGTCTGAATCCGGGGGGCTGTGGATGGCGCGGGGAGCCTCGAGGATAAAGTTTGAGGGCACCAGGGCCCTTGCTCCGGGGGCGGAGAGCGGAGGGGGGTGATGGGAAGGCCGAGGCTCCGGTGCGCCGAGCGCGTGTGGCGCAGCGTGAGACTCCGCGGCCGTTCGCGCTTGGTGAATGAACGCGTGTGGCACGCTGAGTCTCCGAGTGCGCACTGCGAGGCGGGTGTGTGGTGTGCGTGGGAGCCGGTGCGCACGGGACTTAAGGACCTGGCCCGCGACCGGAGGCGCACGCGATGGGCTCATTTTCCCTGAGGCGCGTGCAGATGTGCTGGTCTTGGGGTGCGCTGGATGGGTGAGTGCCCATCCTCATACTTCCGTTTTCCCTGTTTTGGGGGGGAGGGGCGGCAGGAAAGGTCTCCGGCGCCAGTCTTGAAAGGTCCGTGTCCAGGACCCCTGCGTGCGCGGCCCGCGGCGTCGGCGCGCAGCCCGGGCCCCGGCACGCTGGAGGAGCGCAGCCAGTCACCCGCCCTGGCCGGCCATCTCCACCGCATCGCCCGAAACCCTGCTCGGGGGAACCTCTGGTCCTCCACTGGTACGGGACGCCGGACAGACATTCCTTTCCAGGCCAGGCCCCAGTTTCACCATTCGTCGGAAGAGGGCTGATCTCGGCCAAGGAGAATTTGGATGGGAGGGCTCGGAGGACCCTGTGGGTCAACAGGGTCTAGACAGCAGGGAGAGCTGCTCCTGAACACACTAAGAGTTGTGCGTGGGGTCTAGTGGGGTGCAGGCTGCAGTAGATGTGGCAGTTGGTGTTCACCTATTTTAGAAATGACGACTTATCAGTGACCTGCCCAGACCTTGATCTCAGAGGTACAGAGATCTGCTTTCTAAAACTCTTGTGTTAATGTCCCTTCCACAGAAGCAGCACGCTCTGATTCCACATCATGCATTGCGAGGTGGCCGAGGCACTTTCTGACAAGAGGCCTAAGGAGGCTCCAGGGGCACCAGGCCCCGGCATTGGGCCTGCCAGTCTCAGTGCACACATGGCCTTCAGGATTACTGTGAGTGGAGGCAGCTGCGGGGCTGTGGGCCCTCGGGACCTGCTGCCTCGGCCACCCATGCCAACATCGCGCACCCATGAACTCCTCTGCCCCCGGAGTCCCAGAGACTACAGCACGTCCAAGGTTGCCACTGGGAAGGGTGAGTCTGACCCTACCAAGATGCCTGGCTATGGTATGGAGAGCTTCAGGCTGTCTGGTGCCTCTGCCACCACTTCCTGTCTTGGTAGAGTGCCTTCAGAGAACTTGGTGGAACTTTTCTCGGAGTGCCACCAAGTTCTCTGTAGTTGTTTGGAACATCTCTTGTCAATCCGAAAAGAAGGTGTCTTTAGGAAGTATCCTATTTAAACTTAATAGGCATGTTTTTTTGGGGGAAATGTGTGGATAGAAAGCTCAGATTATGTAATTTTACTTTTGTATGTTTCTGATAAAAGTTGCGTGAAATGTCAAAATTTTATTATATGTTAGGGGGAGTAGTGACTCCTGTATGGGATATTTGTTTCTGAATAGCTGAAAGTCTACTTTGAAGTATAGTCATCATCTTAAATAACAAAAATCAGAGGCCTTCTGTAGGACCCCTTCCTTCTATGGACCCCAGTTCCATTTGTCAAGTGAGGAATTTATTATGCCGGATGATTTCTAGATTCCTGATGGAAAAGTTTCTGAATCCATAATCCAGCCTGACTTTTCTGTACATAGTGTTGCTGAAGCGTAGTTCTGAGCTGAAGTCACTTTGCAGTGCCATCTGCTGTGATAAAGCCAGTGACTGGAAGGCAGGCCCAGAACATCTATGGGCTAAGCCAGGGATGGAGCTAGTATTCTCAGGAACATGTTCATCTCGGGTTCCAGTTAACTGTTCCTGGGCTGCTATTTATAGGTTTCATACTGACAGATAATTAACTAGAAATTGGGGGAATTGTTAAGGTGCCTTGCACACCCTGTCTTTTTTCTTTCTCCTTTGGGAGAAACAAAATCCTTGGATTTGATTATATCAACACCTATCTTGATTCTCTATCTAGGCATTTCAGTGGAAGATAAAGTCAGTGTTTTATGTCTTAGGCATAGCCCAGTACCTCGAGCACTCAGGTACCTTGCTTCCCAGTCTAGACCTGATCAAATGAAATAAACATACAGGGGGTTTTCTTCTTAAAAGCAACAAAAACCAAATTGATAGGAGAGAACCACTTTTTGTTATCTTGTTTGAAATGTCAGTCTTTTCTCTAAGACATGAAGGTAATTTTTGTTTTAGAAGGACAGATGTTTTTAAAAATGTCTGTTGAGTTTTTACTGGAATACACACACTATCTCTTACTAGAGAGATGAGATGGTGGTGCGGGGCCGGGGGGTGGTGGGGAGAGGAGGATTGCATAGCAAGATATGAGCAATGTTAGCTGCCATGAGTCCTTTGGCTTGCCTGTCTTCATACGTAGTCCTCTTGTACACCCATAACCTCCTGCAATGTTTTTTTTTGTTTGTTTAAAAACTCATCGCTGTCATCTAAGGTCAGTTCTGCACATCCCTAGGGAATGCTATCTCTAACATGATTGTCCTTTCACATTGCGGTTAGAGACTTTTCAGCTGAAGATTTGTGTATGATTTTCCTACTTCAGTTCCTACTGAACCTCAATTATTTTTATCCATTCTCCCAGGTCTATAATAGAGATCTTTATGTCAAGACTATGTTTGGAAAGGGCAGAGAATGGAGGGATGGGAGAAAGAACCTCTTTCTTTGTATTCCAAGCTGGTCTCTCTGGTTACATATTTTCCTCTGGGTGAGGCTGAGGTGGGATAGATCACACCACTTGAAAGATGAGGAAAGTGAGTGAGACTTGTTGTGGGAAATGTCTCTAGTTTGTAGAAAGTCTCCAGGCATGGCAGATCAGGGGCTTTGAAAGCTAGAGCTCTGACATTATCTAGTTTAGAAACTAGAGAATAAGTGCTGGGGGACCTGGGCTCTATGACACGGAAGGAGATGCTCCTTCCTGTCAGGCCAAGTGGCCTGATAGAAGAGCAGCTTCACCTCCGGCAGAACTTCAGTAACCCTCTTAGAAAGAAATGCTGTTGAGGAAATGGAACCTTCTTTCATTGCCTGCCCATAGAAAAATAGTTGCCAGATCATGCAGCCCTATGAATATATACTAGTTAGCCCTGAGTTCTTAGGCTTATTGGAAACAGACAAACAGGAATACCAATGGAAACATATTTATTGAGTATGCCAGAAATGATAAGATGTGTGGGACACTGCAAGGAATTTTCTCTCATTTATGAAAAATTTGCCCTCAGACAGACTTGGAAAGATGAATGAGAGCATTGGCGATAAAGAATGGGAAAGGACAACTCAATACCTGCTTATTTTTAGGACTATAATGTACTGAATTTTCATTTTGCAGGAGATAGAATAATGTCCACCTCACAAGATAAATAAAACAAGAATTGCAAGAATGCTTTATAGACTGAAATTTAGAGGAGGTCATTTACATTATGTGCAGTCACCATGCTTGGGGTAATGATACTGGATACCAAGGTGATAGATTGAGGAGGGAGATAGTTTGATTTTTAAAATGTTGAATGTGGAGGGCACTAATGGTTGGCAGTAGCCAGGGGAGCCTGAGAGGTGCCATACTTCAGATCTTTTGTGACCACTGCTGTCTGGTGACCAGCAAGAAGACCACATTTCTTAATCTGAAATCAAGTTTCAAATGATCCAGTTTTCAGGGGAAGGGAATAAGTTCTTGAACCCAGCAGTTTATCATGTGTTTGGAGCCTATGTGTTTCCTGATCCCACTGAGAGGCACTGGGCGTGATGTGACGTCATGGACTAACATTGTCATCATTTACAATAAGAATCACGATCTGTTTATGGCCGAATCCCGTTTATCCAGATTCCAAACAGCTGGGGAGGCCACATTGCCAGATGCTGCATTTTTCTTTCTTATTATTAAACACCCAATCCTGCTTTTATAAGTCCTGACAAGGAAAGAAGGTAAACATCTGGGCTTTCTGCAGCAGACAGCTTTGTGGTGATGCCCTGATGACGCTGTTCTCTGTGCTCAGTACTTTGCAGTTTCCAGTGTGTTCCCACACATTCTCTCATCTGGCTCTGCCTACCTTATAGGCTCTACTGACAGAACAGATGCAGCAGTGCTTAGTATCTGTAACATACAGGATAAACCCTGGGTTTCACTGATGTGACTCCATTGTGTAGATGAACATGTAAAGGGCAGGGATTTTCAAAGATCCCAGTGGTTAAGTGGTAGTTTAGGCCTCTAGCTCCAAATGTTTGATTCCGGGTCCACAACTTGTATCTTGTACGTGTGTGTGTGTGAGTGTGTGTGTGTGTGTGTGTGTGTGTGTGTATGTGTGCACATGCATGTACTGACTAAGAATTAGCATCCATAGTAAGGCTTTTAAGCATTTCCAGAAAATTTATAACTTTTGTTTCTGTCTTAGATCTTCAGAAATTGGTATCTAGTCTCTATGCCATGTCAGGAAGTCTTTGTAGTTTACCAGGTAATTCTGTCCAGACCAGATAATATGGTCACTGTTGAATTCACAGCTACTTTTCAGCATATACCAAGACTGTATTCATTTTATCCTAGCAGAAAAGGAGATTGATAGTCACTGCAAATGTGAACTCTGCCATTAGTAAAATAGCCACCATGACAGGGTTGTAAATGCGGAAAAGTAGTCAGTCTTGTAGCAAAAATAAAAAATAAAAGGAAAGCAATTATAGATTGTGTGCATGGGAATCAAGGGCTGATGAAGGGAAGGAGCTAAACATGATGATTCCTGTATCTGAGCATGAGGCTGCTATAATGTTCTGAGGAGGCTTGGAGTAGCTAGTGCATCCGTAACAGAAAGGTATGAGTTATTTTTAAAGCATTTCTCCCACCCTCCTGCCTCTGGTGGGCAATTTGCTTGCATTTCATCCATTTTAAAGTGCTGGTCCTGTGATCCGGAAATAATCGGATCCAAATTTTTTTGGTGCTTGAGGTTTCAAATAAGGGGGAGAAAAACCTGCTGGCCAAATGTCAGGCTCATGAGACAAAGAGAAACAAGTATGTGTGTGGGTATACAAATGAGATAGGAACATGTTGCGTCTACAGTCGTAAGAGTTATGTATCTGACAAATCTTTTATAGACATGTAGAGGAAATACAATTCCCAAAGATTCCCTAAGAATCTTGTGCAGCTAGAATTTCTCTTCCTTTCCTGCCTCCCAAGGTCTCTAGCTTAAGATTTGGCGGCCCAAATGGAAAGGGAACCTTCACAGAAGATTGAGTCTTAATTTAGGCCTCGTTCTTTCTTCTTCGTTTCCCTGTAGTGTGCTTAACTGTGCTAAATTCTTAGGACCCTTTGCTATGGAATGAAATTGATAAGGTATGTTGCTCTGTTTGTGTAAATTTCTTTTTATGCTGTGGTTTTTCTTCACACTTGTCTTGGGGGGGGGGAAACAAACCAAAACCAACCACCCATTCTGGAGTTATTCATCTCCTTGCGTTTCATTTGCGTGAGAAGCCAAGTGAACCGGCACACTTATTTTTACAGTGCGTTAAAATCCCATTACAGGCATAAGTGCACAATGAATCATTTAAAATATATTCTTATGCTCTTTGTTCTGGATGTTGCATAATTATCATCATTTTCTTCGGTTTTATTTCGTGGAGTTTGGCTGGTATCCTAGAAGAGAAGGGGAAACTAACATTTGGAATAGGGGTTTCCAATCCATTTTTGGATAGAATTCGTAAAACAACAACAACAAACAAACTTTATTTAGAAGTTGACCAGTGACTATTACTAACTGTGGCTTTTGCATAAAAGCCTTTTCCAATTTTCTCAGAAAACAATTCCCTATTTTGAAATCTATATGATGGTATTCCAACCTCACCTTACGTATAAAGTTGGAGTCAAAGTTTAATTATCATATGTAGTTTGCTAATTTCTTTTCCTAGTGTAGATTTTAGTTGCAATTAATTTGGCCCTGGAGAGCTGTTCTGTTTCTTTTGGTAGGGGGTAGTTTATTTGTGTCTAAAGAAACAAGGACATTTAGTTCATCAGAGAGAAGAAATGAAACAAACTGCAATGGGCTTTGAAAGGTTTGATTGCTTTTTGCAAAAAAGCAACTATAACACCAGGCCAGGAA